ATGTGGGAGCAGGGTGTGTGGACACCTCACATCATCAGAACACCAAGTGGGCCACAGCTCATACCCCCCCATCAGTGTGCTTCATCTTCCCACCACGCCCATCAAGTACCAGAGACAAGTTCCTCTCCACTGCAGACGAGGTTGGGCCAGTGGAGCAACAGAACTAGAGACACCTGGGTCTCCCGACTTCGCTCACCTTTTCCCCACTGATCCTGAGATTCTGTACACACAGAAAGGAGCAAAAGCCTGAAGGAGCAAAAGCAATTCCAATCCTCAGCTGGGCACATGTGCAGAGCGCAGGTTCTCAGGCCAGTGGTGAAGAGTGGGATGCAGCACACGGCTGGACCTCTGCTCTCACACACATCAGGTCCTCCCCACGAATACGAGTCAGGTGCTGTGTTCTGGGGACTCACACAGTCGACCGTTATCCATCTCAGTAATGAAGAAGAGCTGATTTTACAAGTTCTGGGGTTGCAAGCTCTCTGTAGGGCTAAGGGGAAGTGTTTGTACTGCATATGTCATTTCTTCCCTATTAAAAATGCCCCAACGTTATGTTTAAAGTCACAAGTTTGACCCTTTTGCTTTTCTACAAAAAGAATTTTAAACTCAAAGACACAGTGGGTTGCCATTTCACGGCCCCTTAGAATTGCTATGATAAAACAGTCACCTAACAATAAGCACCACAAAGAATTCAGAGAAACCTGAGCCCTCACCCATCTCTGGTGGGAAAGGAAAATGGTACAGATTCTGTGGAGAACAGCTTGTTGGTTACACATACCTTGGCCACAGGGTTCCGATTTGACTCGGCAATTCCAATCCTGAGCACACATCCAAGAGAAATAGAAACTTACACCTCGCACAAACCTGTAGGCAAATACTATGGCAGCACTGTTGAGTGTCCACAGACTAACAAGAGATAAAATTGTGTCTAACAAAATGTGTTTAGTGTGTGAATTTTACAATGGAATAATATTCAGCCATGAAAAGGAATAAAGTACTGATACATGTTACAACACAGATTAACTGTGGAAATGCTTTACCCTAAATGAAAGAGGTCGGTCCCAAGAGAGAAAATACTATAGGATCCCATGGATATGAAATGCCCAGAACAGGGAAGTCCAGACAGGCTGAGAGAAATGGCTGCCTAGGACTGGGAAGAGTGGGGATCAGGATGAAGCCACCTGGGATGGGTTTAAGGGTGATTTTTTTTTCTTTTTGACTTACAAAAATATTCTAAAATTAGATTCAGTTGAAAGCTGCACAACTCTGCAAGCATCCTACAAATCACTGAGTTTTAAATGGGTGAATACTATGATGTGATAATTCTACCTCAATAAAACTGATAGAAAATAGGCTGAAGGAAACCTGGAAGCCCCGTGCAGTTAGATGGTTTAAAGTTCTGGGTTTCAAAGAAACTAAGACTGGAAACCTGAGCACTGCAGGATGGAGAGATTCAATAACAAAGAAAGCAAGAAGCCAGTTACATCCAAAGACACCTAATGAATGCACATCTATGTGCTTTAAGCAGAAATAAAACATTTAAAACATAATATTACTCAACTAATATTACTTACAATAATTACATCTTCTTATGTATCTTTTTTCCTGTAAACCGTTTGTGATATTTGCCAGTTTTTTCCCATTGGTCTATTTCTCTTTTTGCATATTGATTTGCATGATTTCTTTTTGCATTAAGAAAATTGACCTTTGATGATGTGTACTTTTAGTAATGCATTACTCATTTATTGTTTGGCTCTAGACTTCTTTAATTGTACAATTTTTATAAATGTATTCCAAATATTCAACGTACTGATTGTTGTTGACAAATGCAGAAAAACAAAGGATAAGAAAACAGCACTGGGGCCACCAAACCTAGCTTGTTTTCCCTTTGAAAATGTCTGCACAGTGTGAATTCGTGTCTGCCATTTTACTTACCAAAAGGTCTGCATGTTAGGAGAATATGTTTTAGTAACTATTTAGATACGATGCCTAAGATTAAAACAGAAGAAAAACCACACCACGAAACTAAGCCCAGCATTTAGGATGAGGGTTAGCTGGGCTACAGGTGGGACCTCCACACTCTGGGTGAAGGTGACCATCACTGACGTGGCAGAAGGTGCTCTGGAAGAGGACTCGGCCACCAAAATGTGGAGTCTTTGGAGGGGAGCCTCGTGTCCAACCTGACTTTTCCGCTTGGTGAGTGATACACTCTGGTTTCAGTACTTGCCTGGGCTGCGGAACCCCAAATCACCAGTTCGCCCTCGGGTTGTTTCCACGTCTTGGCTGTTAGGAGTCTTGCAGCACGATGATCCCAACCCCTCTGGATGGCCCCCCAGGAGCGGGGATGCTGGATTATATGGGAATTCTAATTCTTTCTTTTTTGTTGTTCCTCGATGAGCCTCCACACCGTTTTCCAAATGGCCACACTAATTGACATTCCCATCAGCAACGTCCCCTTCTCTCCACATCCTCACCAACACTTGTTATCTTTCACATTTTTGGTAAAGTCAATCTAACAAACGTGAGTTCCTATCTCATTTTGGTTTTCATTTGCATTTCTCTGAGGAGAGATCTTGGGCACTAGCTCATTTATAGGCTGGCCATTCGTTTGTCTTCTTTTGAGAGACGTCTGTTCAGATCCTGCTATGCATGAATAAATGATTCCCACTTATTTATATGGAGCCTGTGGCCAAATAGGTTTTACTCAGAAAGTGCAGCTACTCACAAAGATTGCATTTGGGAACTCAAATTGTGTTGTTAATAGACAAGTATTTTTGCAAGCAGGGACTATTTTTTTTTTAATACAAATGAATTCTAAATATGTCCATAGCTCACAATAAATATTATTGTTAATAATATTAATCTCATTGCCTTAAATGCATAAAAGGCCTTTCTTCTAATATATAAAATTAATTAACCTAAAAGTTCTAAATGTCTAAATACGATGTTAAAAGAAGCATTATCCATGATAACTACCTAGGAACATTTAGCAAATGGTGAAATTGCAGGAGAGATCATAATTTCCATGCCTGATATGGGGAAGTGTGATAAAAATGCAATTTCAAAACACCTGCTCCATCCTAAGTATCTCAGTGATGCTTTAAACATTAACACATCCTACATAATTAAAACGGGGGATGCAGGCCCAGACCTGCTTCCTCTCTCCTCTGCCAGGTTTGTGCACTTGGTGCTTGTGGCTCTTGGTGACAGAGGCAGTAACAGGAGTCGCATTAGTTGGTGGGCACGGCAGAGAGGAGGCAAAGTGGGCTCTCAACAGCTTTGGAGCCACGGAAGCCACGACGTGGGTGTGATTGTGAGGGCAGCAGTGTGACTGTGTGTGCCTGTGGCAGGAAGACAAAGGCCACTCACATTGAAAAGTGGAGGACCGTTTAGCAGAGGGGCACCAGTTTACGGCAGGAGCAAGATTTGGGAGGACCACCCAAAGGCAGCGCAGTGTGTGGACCGGTCACGGCACAGCCAGCCCAGTCCTGGGCTTAAAGGAGCCACAGCAGCAAGAGGAGCCAGAACCCTGAGAGGGTGTGGCGGCCACCTGCTGGACCCCTGTCTCCAGCCTGGGGAACCCAGGGGTCAGGAAAAGAGCCCGCTGACCTCACTCTCTCCTGCCAGGGCTCCTACTGACCAAGCCAGTCAGGCTCCTTGGGGGAATGGGCAGGAGGGAGAGGCCCCCAAGGGCAAAAGGAGGTGCTGCACACACAGTGGACACAGGGAGATTCCCTCGGGTGACAGAAGTGTAGACTTTGGGATGAAACAGTAAATACACTACAGTAGATGGTACGACCATCTGTCCTGCAAAAACAATACTGATTTTTATCATTAAAAAAACTGTAAGGACAGCCTTTCTTCAGCGAAGACTGTGTCAGATGCTACCCTGAGCACTTGACAGACAGTAGCCAACGTAACCCTGTCCATCCTAGTCCATCGTTTGCTACTATAACGCAGTACCTGAGACTGGATAACTTATAAGGAAAAGAAATTGATTTCTTACTGTTCTAGAAACTAAAGTTGGAGATTGAACAGTCACATCTGGTGAGGGCCTCATGCTGGGTCATTGCATGGCGAAGGAGACCAGGTGGGAGCGGGCGCAGGCGGAGGTGGCAGTCAGAGGCGCCTCACGTTAAACAAAACGCTCTCACAGCAGCCCACCCAGTCCTGCCGGGGTTTGTCCTGCCGCTTAAGAGGCTGCCATCGCCTCACGACCATCACGACAGCAGTCGAGTTCCTACGCCCTGCAGGGGACTCTCAAACCCAGCGTGGGTGGGGATCACTGTGTCCTCACACTACAGACGTCACTGGGACCGCGTGGACTTCAGTCCTCCCTTCTCACCCAGGCTGTCCCGTGTGAGATGAAGTCTAGACCTCTGTCATCGCCCTCGGACACTGGGCGGTGCTCTTGGGTCCCCTGCGGGGGTCAGCTGCCTCCAGCCTGAGCAGAGGTGGAGTGTGAGCCTTGCCTCTGGGTGCACAGTCGGCCCGGGCCCCCCTCCCTGCCTCAGAGGGCCCTCAGGAGCCTGGGGCCGGGGCCTGTCCACCTCCACCTCCGCCGGGCCTGCCTCTGGGTTCTGGCCCATCAGTCCCCCCCACCCCACCCCCACCCCCACCCCCGCTCAGGCCTCTTGCCCACGGACCCTGACATTAAGTGCACGGGCGAGGGCTCCGTTCACTGTCGTCACGTTTGCTTTCTGATGTATCTGCGGATTCGTTCTCACTGGGGACCAGTCTCAACTTAAAGAGCAGCCCAGCAGGGCCACGTGGAGGCACGTGCTGCTGTCGTGGCAGAGTTCTGAACGGTGCCGCAGTGGTGAGCTGTGTGTCCACTTCCCGGCATGTCGTGGACCACACCACACTGTCACAACACGGCCTGACGCCACCCTGATCCTGGCAGACAGTGGTCATCATCGCTGCCTCCACCAGAGTGTCCAGCCACCCTCTGCCCCTCGATTCAGCAAGTCCTAAAAATGGAAAAGAACATGAAATCTCACCTTCAATAAACATCCCTGGCTAGGGACACCGGAAAGGCCCAGCGGCGTGTGGAGTCCCTGTGCAGGGGCCTGGCTTTCTTCCCACACAGCTGGCTGACAGGGGCCCTGCAGAGCTTTCAAAGGGAGCAAAGGTTCCTGGGAAGAGCTGACACAACAGGGCGGCTGGAGGAGGACGCCATCACAATGGGCCAGGAATCACAGAATCTATGGGTCCAGGGCAACTTCAGGCCAGTGTCCAGGCTGGAGGCAGGTCCAGCCCTTCCCCTGGAGGAAGATGGCATTGACTCTGTTACTAGCGTCTCTATTTTTTCTTTGACACCTGGAAAATTTTTGTCCATCACCTGCCTTACAGCAAAACCAGTGCCCTGGGCTGACCTTCCCCAAGGCAGGAGCAAAATCTCACTTCTGGTGGGAAAATCATCAGCAACACGTCTTCCTCAAAGACTCGCCACAGTTCACCATAAATGTCCAACTAATCAGCTCATTCTAACTCAGCTGAGCCTCTTTCAACTGATTGCAAAGGAAATTATCTTGTCATTTTCAAGTAAATAGGGAAGAGTAAAAATAAAGGGGAAAACCACATAATTTAAGTTTGGCTAACACGCTCCTGACACATGCTAAGGACTAATTAGAATGAAATGTAACAAGCACATCAGTAGGTAAACGGTGTTGACGAAAGTCCCAACAGCACGACTTTGGAGCTAGAGAGAACTTTGGAGTCTACTGAGAACCCAACTTGTAACATTTGTGTACAATTAATTCACTGCTTTAACCTAATCTTCATTAATACAAAGGTCACCTGGCCACAACCAAGTCCAGCTGTCAAAAAATCCAAACATGTGTCATTGCCCTTAATGAGGTTTCAAAACCATGCAAATCTGATGTGAATTGCATCAGACAAGTCAAACACTACTGACATCTTGACATCTCGGCATCTCGGGAGCCACCTCTTTGTGGAAGCCAGTGTGCCGAGGTGAGCCCTCAGACAGGCGCCACCCTCGGCGTAGGTGCCGTCTGTTCAGCATCCATGTGGCTGAAGGGAGGTCTCAGTTCTGCAGGGACAATGGATGCATCATGGAGGGAGAATAATCATCCTGAACGGTTTAACATTCAAAGGGTATCCCCAGCACTGGCTGGAAGGAGAATTGTGGCTTTGTTCCAAAATCACATGCTAGAAAACTAGTGCAGGGGCTGGGCAGAGAGGACATTTTCCAAGCAGTAGAAATAGTTCCTTTCTGACAGAATCTGAGATTTTGTGTTGAGCTTAGCACTTTAAATATTGACTACAGCAGCCAGCAGCTGCAATTTTACACACACACAGAGGGTGTCTGAGTTCTCAGGAAACAGTAATAAATTAGAATTACACCCAATACTTTCTAAATAACTACTAAGAATTTTTATCAACTTATTTGAAAAGGGAGATGCTCAAAATTTTTAGATGAAGGTTTTCATTTAGTTTGTGAACTAAAAATGTGACCTTGTAAAAAAATAAATTATTTCCATTTTTAAGGCTTCTGCGTAGCAGAAAAAGGAATTGATTTGGAGCATTGTTGTAGTCAGCTTTTTCGCTGCTGTGACTAAAAGACCCGACAACAACAACTTAAGAGGAGGAAAAGTTTATTTGGGGGCTCACATTGTCAGAGGTCTTAGTCCATCGACAGGGGGTTCCATGCCTCAATGCTGGAGGTGAGGCAGAGCATCATGGCAGAGAGTGTGGTGGAGGAAAGTGGCTCACATGACGATCAGGGAGCAGATAAGAGTCTCCACTTGTCAGATGCACAATATATACCCCAGGGCCACATCCCCAATGCCCACCTCCTCCAGCCATACCCACCCGCCCTCAGTCACACTCCGTTAATCCTGTCAGGGGATCAATTCTCTGACTGGGTCAAGGCTCTATGACCCAATCATTCCACCTCCAAGCCTTCTTGCATTGTTTCACACAATGCTCTTGGGGACACCTCACATCCAAACCATAATCATGTATCTAATAATTTCCATCAATATTTTGCAAATGTAAATAGACAATAAATGAGGTGATAGGAGGTGCAGTGATGTTCATAGGCTTTGAATAAGATTATGTTTGGGCATTTTCAATAAAAGAAGATCTAACTGCACACATACTACCTGACCTGTCTGGGAATGTTGTCCTGCTTGGAGCTCCTCTGTGCAGGACAGACTGACCCTCTCACACAGCAGACACTGTGTACATGCTCCCTCCCTTGGATGAAAACACAAAAGCCCTAGGTGACCTTGAAAATGTGACTTGAAAGATCACAGAAAGTGCCACTATAGTCATTAACATTAAACACTAATTATCCTCATGAGCTAGCAGAGACCTTGGGAACGGGACCCAGGGCATGTGTGTTTGCAGAGGGGCACAAACGTCAGTGAGGACCATGGTCAACTCCTGGTGCAGGGTCCAACACGAGTCTACAGGAAAGACTGCACCTAAGACTTAATCCTGCTTAGGACTAGCTTTCCTTTGGTCATATCCAAAGTCTCAGATTGATACTAATGCTTTTCATATACGATATTGTGAGTGAAATAAAATTTAGTAGGATATCAATGAAAATGGCAGAGTAAGACCCTCTAAACATTTTCTTTTCTATTAAAGCAATGAGAAAACATACAAAAATTGCCAGAACCAATTTTTCAGATATACAGAAATTAGAAACAAGCTTACTATAAATCTGTGGAGCACTTATCTTGGAGAGTGGCCACTGATGGTGAACTCTGTAGTGCTTCCCCTTCTCCTGTCCCATGCCCACTCCTCACCAGCTCTTCCCAGCTGCAGGGCCACCTCGGCCTGGCAGCACTGCAGGAAGGGCAGGCTCCGAGGCTCCTGCATGGCCTCATTTCCAGAGAACTGACATTATCTGCCCTGCCCGTGGTGCCCTGGAAGGTGGCTCAGGCCATCTTATTTGATGAGACTTGGTGCGTGCTCTGTCCAGAAAGCTATGATCTTGGGAAAATTATCGAAATGACTGAGTCAATTATTCACCTTCTCGGGTGTCCATGGGGACAACACAGCCACTGGGAGAAACAGCAGGCAACCAAAAAGCAAAAGAGGTGAGGCTGGGAAGGAAAGCCTCAACACACTCCTGAGAATATGGAAGGCCAGACACATACCCTCAGACACAGACATGGACAGAGGAGACTCGGTGCTGATGTTGTCACCTTGGCTGACCTTGAAGCACGCCTTGAGGCACAACTAAACAGGCAGAGAGCACTAAGGCAGGGGTTTTCCAATGCCTGGCTGGATCTTTAGGTGTGCCCCACATGCACAAAACACACTGAGCAAGACTAGAGACTTACTGACTCCGGACCAACGCTGGGGGTGGGAGGGTTACCTGTCCAATCATTAACTGACCACTAAGCTGCCTGAGCAAAGCTATTGAGGTCCATACCTAAAAAAGACACTTTAAAAAACTAATTAAGAAAATCACAACAACAAAGCACTAAGAAGGGGTGGTCTGAACTTCAGAATTGCCACATTTTACTATACCTGATGTCCAATTTTCATGAACAAAAAGGAAAACTAGAAAGTACAATCTCAAAGTCCTCATGGAAACACAAGGAATATAGAATAGTTGCCATCATCTTAAAAAGGGAAAACTCTTTTTTTTTTTTTTTTAATGGTGCTGGGGATTGAATCCAGGGCCTTGTGATCATAAGGCAAGCACTCTACCAACTGAGCTACATCCCCAGCCTGAAAACTAATTTTTTAAAAGTTAGAACATACTAATAGAATCCATCATTTTATGGAAAATGGCTTAAAACAGAGTTCATCAACATAACAAAATGCATTTTGGTGCACTGAAATCAATAAAGTGCTCAACTAGTGATAAAATTGACAATGAGAACATACAACACCAGAGTTCATTTTCAAGAGGACAAACACTAAGTTTCCTAGGAAGATGAGTCATCAACGGCTTGTTGTTCCATGTGCAAACACGCACTCATTCAGGTGTGTTCCCCACGTCTCACAGCACACACTGCACGTCTTGGTGCATGCTGTGGTCACTCCAGCAGGTCTGCCACTCCTCCCAACAAGGCTGCCCAGGTGTGGAGTCCAACAGAAAGCCAGGAGCATGACCAAGACTCATCTGCTGTCAGAGGGAGAAACCTCCATGAAACACGAAGTTCAAAGACCAAATCACTGGTAGCCAAGGAAGAGAAAAATGTAAAGTGAGAGAGAACACGATATGTGCAAATTAAATAGAAATCCTGCAGAATAGAAATCGTATCACTGGAATGACAACGTGGGACAGCACCAAATACTGGCAGAGCTCTCTAAAATGTAAAGTGCACAGCCATGAACTCACTCTTGGGAATTTTTCAAGAATTTAGCCAAAGAAAGAAGAGACCTAGAAGCTGGCTCAGGAGCGTACAGGATCTAGAACTTCTGGAAAAGGGTAATAAAAATAATGTAGGAGACAAATGAAGCATAACCATAGAAATCTTCTTAGACCTGGAAAAAAACACATTGAATCATCCTCCGTAAACGAGAGGGCCACAAAGACACGAGCAAGTGAACCAAAATTGATAACTCTGGCTGTCACGTTTTAGGAAACCAAAGACAAAGAGGAAACTCTTAAAAGCCACTAAAGGACAATAATCTGATTATGTACAGAGAAACAAACATCCAGTTGACCCAGAAGTCTCACTCATAACACTGGAGACAAAGGGAGAACCAAGCAGCAACTTGAACAATCTGGAGGAAAACCAGCCTTGAACCAAGCATGGAGGAGCCAAGGTGCAAGTCAGGAGCCGGAGGAAGACAATATTAGAAATGTCCCAGAAACCTCAGAGGAAGAAATGGGCCTAAAAAAAAGTGGAGAAATGGTTTAATAATGAAAGAATGCGCAAACAACCACACTGCCTACTTTAACAGTGTGCTACTAAGCTAAATGACTGCTGAACATTCGTACTTGTGTAATTTTTAAATCTCAAGTTGAATTCTGGCTGGTCAGGAGGTGAGCTGACCGCAGGAGGCATGGGAGGAAGCCCAAGATTGCCCATGCCAGGCTGACCACATGGGCCCTGCTGGGGAAGCTACAGTGCAGACACCCTCCCAGCTGCCAGAGAAGGTGACGGACAGCGAGGACAACCCAGGCAGCAT